GAACAGCATATAGTACAACATTTGAAGCATTTCTACTTGTACATACTTTGACATTTTATACCGTATATGTACCAAATATTTAGATATTTTAAAATATAATCTATATGTACATCTCACCTTAAGTTGTAATCAAAATTTATATCCAAATACTTACAAGATTCAACCCTACTTATTCTACTATTGTTTATTTGAATATTCATATCCTTTGGAACACTATAGTCATAGTTTCCAAAGGCTAATAAACTGTTTTACTTATGTTTAGCGACAACCTATTTAAGGTCAACCAAGTTGCAACCTTATCCAAATATACATTCATATTACTCTCCACTTTACACCAAGACTCATCATGTGCTATAATAGCTGTATCATCCGCATATGATATAGCATTTTTAGCCATATCTGTTAGCAAGTCATTTGCATATATTATAAATAGTAGAGGTTCCAATATGGTCCCTTAGCATACTGATACAACTTTATCAGCAGGATACTGTGAGCTACTGTATCAGAAGCCCTCGCAAGATCAATGAAAGCAACAGCAACAGATTTGCTTTTATCGAGATTATCATACAATTTTCTAGTTAAATGACTTAGGGCATCTTGCGTACCTTTATCTTTTACAAAACCATATTGATTTCCGGCTAGAATACCGTTATTGATCAGGAATTTATATAACCTTTTATATATAATTTTCTCAAATATTTTGGCTATGTTTGAGACGAGAGATATTGGTTAGTTAGACACATCAGTCTTTTTACGAGATTTGAAAATAGGAATCACTTTAGCTTTTTTAATGTTAAATTCAATATAAAGATTAAACCTTGCCTTTATATGTGAAAAACAATATCATTTAAATTATGTCCTCCACGGGACCTCCTACAGGCCTCAATCCTTTTGAGGTAACTTTGAATGATTTTCCGGCACATTACCGGTAATATATCGGTCATAACTTCACGGATATTGGCTCTCAGTTGCTCAAGAGTTTGAGGATTTTTGGCGTAAACACGATCTTTCGCATAGCCCCACAAAAAGAAATCTAACG